TGCAGAGGAAGGGCTAGACCAGATGTAGCCCTGCCATGGAGAGTCTCAAAGCTAGAGTGGTAGTGAAATGGGAGAGTTCCCTGATCCCCCTCACCGTACGTGCAACAGGGGTGTGTCTCGCTTGTTCCATTGCTACCACTGCTCACTGCTTAAACCCCTGACAAGATGGGGAGCATGCACATGGGCATGTGTAGGAGCCGGGGTGAGTACTTTGGGATCCAGTCCCGTGGGTGGGTGCCTCCGGCTCTTTTTGCCTTGCTGTCTGCCAATGGCTTAAGTGTTACCAGCTCAGTGGTCCCTCTGTCTTTACAGAAAGGCAGAGGGCCAATGTGACAGCTTTCTGTATCCTAAGTTTTTGCCCAGCATCCCAGGAGACCTGAGCATTCACAAGCCGTGAATGTGGGGTTTGAGTGGTGGAGGTGACTCTCAGCAGGATGGATGGGGAGCTGGAAGGGGGATGGAGTGGAAAAATGACCTTTCCCTGAGGTTGGCCATCCAGCAGCTGAGCTCTTCTTTGACTGGCCCCAGCCAAACTCCTCTCAGTGTTCAGAAATTCCTTCTCTTTGCTTTCTCTGCTGTGTTGTTCCACTGTGTGTCTTTTTATATCTTTGTCTCCTCGTGTGCTCGTCTGTTTCTGAAGCCTGGGGTTCGGAATTTATATGGGTACAGGATAGGGGCATGGCGGGCCAAAAGGCAGCTTTTCGGGTACAAAGACAGAAATGCCTGTTCCCACTTAGGGCTGTGGGTCTCCAGGCTTGAGGGTGAAGCCTTCCTGGGGAGCTACCCTCTTCTACTCAGTATTTCCCTGTCTCCTGTCCATATCAGTAGCAAATGCATCAAACGTGATTTGAGGTGGAACATTACACACCAAGGAAGAGAACAGATATGGAAGACTTGAAAAGGCAAAGTCTAAGGACATAGAAGGATGATTTTAGTCTATATCATATTGAAAAATTACTAAATAATTTAATTTCAGAATGAAGATGCTGGGACTTCAGGTTGAATAATTATAATTTATTATTTTCAACTCAGTTTTTATACTTATGTATACCAGTTATATAACTGATCTGTCCTACTCCACCAACAACTTCTACAAAACAAAGTTATATTTATCAAGATATGCTATATAAACACATTAATGTCAGACAAAATAGACTTTAAGGAAATACATATCACTAGAGATTAAGTAGGCTACTTCATAATTACAAGAAGTTTAATTTAGCAGGTGGCAATATACATTCTAATTTGGAATGGACAATTTATATATGTATAAAAGTGAACAGAACTAGACTGAGAAATAGTTAAATACACAGTGATAAGGGAAGATTTCAAAGCAGCTTCCCCTACTGGTAATACAAACTTTGAAACTACAAAATTCATATCCCTCTATCACACATAAACCATCTATAAATTTTGGTGCATTTAAAATAACAGTGTGTTCTCTGGACACAGTAAAAATAAAGTAAACCAGACCACAAAAGAGAAAACCAAACTGGAAACAGCCTGTATACTTGAAAATTAAAAAATGTGTTTATATAAAAATTATGAGAAAATAAATCACAATGAAAATTAGGAATATCATGAAATACATAATAAAAGTACAACATTTAGAATTTCTGGGACTGTATTAAAGATGTGTTCAAAGAGATATTTCAATTGAAAATCCTATATGTCTATATTTTAAAGGAAAGTCTAAAACTCAGTCAACTAAGCCTCCATTTCATGGTGCTGAATGTAGGAAAAAAAGAGCATATTCAATCCAAAGGCTATAATAGAAACAAAAACAAGAGAGCAGAAAAAAAGGAGTAGAACAAACACATAAACAAAGGCATATCAAAGTTGCTAAATTTAAAATATTAATAAAATTGATAAACCTTTAACAAATATTACATATAATGATAAATAAAAAGTTCTCTATTTCAATAACAAGGCTAGGAGGCTGCTTTCATTAATTTATTTCTTCATATACTGGAGGATACGTAGCAATGCAGTAGGAAAAAGAAATAAAAATAAAAATAGAGCAAAGTAAGAAATAAAATTGATATTATTTGCAGAAAAGAGGATCATATATACAGAAAATTCAAGAGATTCTACACATAATATCAATTAATAAAAGAATTTAGCAAGTTAGATAACTTTAGCCACATACAGAAATTGTATTTATATATAACAGTAACAGAGTCAGAAATTAAAATTAGGGTATTATTTAAAATAGTATAAAAATATTTACACACCTAACTCTATGTTCAAGAACTCTGTATAGAAAAGTATAAAATATCATTTAAAAGAATTAAAATAAGACTCAAATAAACAAAGAAACAGAGGGCTGTACTATATTCATAGATTGTAAGACCCAATATTGTAAAGGCAGTTCTATAAAAATCATTTATTGCCATTCAATCAAAATCCCAACAGGTTCTTACTGTTTGGGAATATTGCTTGTTAGGTTGTGTGCATATATGTGTGTATGTGTGTGTGTAAATAAAAACCATCTTCATTTCAAAGTTTGGAGTCAATTATTTTACAAGTTCCAAACATTTTTCGAGTATCTTGAAAGTTCGTAGGCCCAAAGCACTGTGCCTACAACATCTACTAGATAAAGTGACCCATGGAGTTTGGGTCTTTGTATTCCCAGATTCGTGATCCTCTTACTATGCTACCTTCTCTCTCTGTTCTAATGAATATATTATTTAATTCTCTTGTTAATTTTAAAAATTCATGTATGTGTTGCTGAATGATTTTACTTTAAAATTTACATAAGTATGAGCTAGAAAATTGTGCTTACTAATTTTATATAAGTATAAAGTTAAAATAAGCATATAAACTTTTAACTGATATTTGTGTTTTTACATAGTATCTTTGTTCTTCTATTTTCATGTTTGAAAAATATAGTGTCTACCCATATTCAGAAAGCTCATCAAGAATTTACTGCTTTAGCTGGTACTGATTATTCACTGTATTTGTCTGCCCTCTAGTGATGGTAGAACAAAGAGTCTAAGGAAAAATTACCAGAGGTAAGAGTCAGTTGATTAGTTTTGCAGAAACTCTCATTATTTAAGTTTAACCTGGCTCCTTGTATAACACGTTTCTAAATTTAGAAATTTACTACGTGTCAATAACATACACATTGGCATACAACAGTTTGATGCTGTTATAGTGTTATACTATGTGTGGATTAAGCTAAACGACGAATAAAATAATTTATATGTTAACAATGAAAATGAATAAAAGGAATATGTAACTATACACAAAATTTATTGGGCACCTACTCGCTGTGCTAAGCTCTTTTCATACATTATGTGATTTTATCTGTACAGCAGCTCCTCAAGAAGGTCCCTCTGTTATAGATATGAAAATTCAGGCTTATCTATAAGTGTGGTTAAGCAACTTGATTAAGGTCAAATACTAGATAATAATAATAATAATAGCTATATTTATCAAGCAGTTTTTAGTGTCAGAAAAAGGTGCTCTGTTAAGCACTTTGTATATCTATATTAGTCAGTGCTCAGAACAGGAAACAGAAACCGGTCTAGAGACTGAAAACAGAAGTGGGTTAATACTGCAAGTGAGATCCTGACAATCAGCGGAAGGGTCAGAGAAGTCAGTTTTTGAGTGGATATTGTGGGTTGACTGCCAAAATAATGTGGAACTGACTCATTAAGAGTGCCCCGCTCTGAGGTCATCGCTGCAGTAATGTCACAAATCTTGAAACACTGAAAAATCTGAAATACGCATGCAAACTCTGTTGTAGAAAAACCTCCTGTTCCTACCACGTTGCTAGCCAGCAGGAACAGTCAAGTGTCGAAGGAACATGGCCTCTAGCTCACGTCCAACTTCTCCCTCTGGTTGGCAGAACACAACTCACACCCAGAGCTCTTGCTGCCAAGGAGTCTACTAAATGTAGCGTTTATCTCCCCAGCTCCCATGTACAAAAAAGGAACATGGAAACAGGTGGGGTTGGCTGCTGGGAGCCATTCAACCACACCCAGCGTAACATGTTCTCCAATTTAGTCCTCATAGAGATTCATAGGACTGTTTCTCCATTCCATAGAGGAAGAAATAGATGCATTGGCAAGATAAATAGTCTGCTAAATAAACAGGATAGGAACCTATGCCTCTCTTATTCCAAAGTGCAGCACATCTCAGTATCCCAATATGACTATACTATGTCATCATTAATTCGTTAATTCTATGTTAATGTTGAACATCTCTCCTTCAACCCCAATCAACATGCACACACTCATTTTTTTTTCACATGCTTCTTATCAGGATACAACCTGGATTCCAAGAAAAGTGAATTGAAGGTGCTGCTCTCCAGTTGTCTCCTGAGTGAACTGTCCTCCTAGGCTTGGGATAAAAATATGCAGAATCAATGTACAGCCCTCCTGCATCTCATATTCTTGCGGGAAAAATAAATATATTCTCTAATACATATGAGTTGGCCTGAAAAAGGGAGCTAATGGCATTGCTGGGACTGGAATGAATCTCCCACATACTTGGAGAAATCAAGGTGTATGATCTCCTCAGAGCAGAGAAACATCATGTGGTGGTAAGGAAAGATGCCAAAACAGTGGATGTTATTCTTGTCTGTGCAGCCTGACTCACACAGCACCCCTCCCAATGTGCACATGCTGCTGGCCCTTCATGACACCTGCTCACCAGACACTGTCCTTCCACTTCAGAAAGATACTGGATCTACAGAAGGCCGTCTGACTTCTTACCTCGGGAATGAGAACCTTGACAGAGGAAACCTCAGAACTGAAGGTAGTCAGACAGAAACATTTAGATGGCAGTCCTTAGGGCAGTCATATGCTTTAAGGAAATACCATAATGCCTGCAGAGATTCCCAGAGGTGCCCTGGTTCTTGCCTCTTCTGAGATGCAATTGTTCACAACACTTTCCATCTTGAAACTGAAGCTTCGTTGTCTGGGGTAAATACCTGCAGTTCATTGTCTCACACCAAGAAAATTGTGGACATAGACACACATGAGGATTTTAGGAGCTAAGGTTTAATAGGTGGAAGAAAGAGAAAGAACAGTTCTCTCTCTAGTGAGAGGGAGGTGCTTCCGAAGGGAAAAGGCCAAACCATGGCAGAGTTTGCTGGATTTATAGGCAGGCTTGAGAGGCGGTGTCAGATGTCTGTAGGGTCCACAGATTGGTTTGATCAGGTGTGACATTTATATAGTGGGCAGGGAAGGCTGGTTACCCTGCCTTAACCTTGTTACGCAAATGGGCTTTCCGTTTGACCAGCACCATCTTGGCAGCTCCTTACTGTATATGTGGCTGGCAAAAAGAAGAGAAGATGGAGCCACCGTTTTGAACACGATTGGCACAACTGCTGGCATCTATGTCTTCAGCTCAATTTTACCAAAAAAGGCTGCTTTTTGTTAGAAAAGAAAATGATTTGGGGCTGCTTTTCATTAAAAGCAAAACCTTACCAAAGACTCCAGTACCCTCACTATCTGCCTAAGTAATTTCTTCTTAACTCCTGTATCAGAACCACTCTGGATTCTTCCTAGAAAACATCCCTCCTTGTTTAAGTTAGAGCCAGTGTTTAGTACCTGTTACCAAAGGTGGGAGATCATGCTGGTAAAGCAGGTAAAGAGATGAAGTAGTTATTCTTTTCTTCTGATGGTTCGCAGATGTGCTTTTCTGAGGAGTCCAATGAAAGACAGGCTACTGTATCACTACACTTTTGAAGAGCTCACCCTCGCAGTTGGAATAACATGAAAATTGTGCAGGTATCACAATCTACTTTTTAATATTTTCTAGCTGCCTGTGACAAAATTTAGGCCAGTTTCCCTCTCTGTGCCACCACAGCTGAGCATATTACTCTAGAAAGAGAATGCGAGCAACGCAGTGCTGCTTAAAATGCGGTGGTGAAGGTGGAAACGGGGATATAATTGTTTCCTTTATAGGGAGCTGCAACAACAAAAAGCAACCAGGAATCTAGGAAGAATAACCCAGGAATGGAATGAATACTTTTTTGCTTTGTGCTCAGATTCTGTGGATAAGCAGAAGTAGTTGCATGGATTATTATTATTATTATTATTATTATTTACATGGCTGGTTGAAAACGTTGGCCCTGTCCCTTGTTCTCATCCAAGTATGTGTCAGAAGCACCTGGGAAGCTTTTTAAAAAACACTCCTACACTGATGTTACGTCTTTGATGGTTGTGACTTAATGCATCTGAGGGGATCAGAGTGGGGCTCAAAAAGGCATATTTTGACAGTTCTTCTATGTGATTCTAGTACTCACCCCAGATGATGATCATTAGACTAAAATGGATGGTGCTGTGTTCTCTTCATGAGCAGACAGACAGAGGACAGAGCTGTGGTAAGAAAGTTGAATAAGATGATGCCATGAGTTAGTAATGTTGATATCTTGAATTAGTAGTAGCTGATTTGAATTTTAGGAATTTGAGATTTAAGTGTCAGAATCAGGGATATAATATTAGGGAAAGCGATTTTTGCCTGTTTGAAAGGAAGGTGGCTTTTTTTTTTTTTTTTTTTTTTTTTTAAGGAGCATTTATAAAGGAGCTAAAGTGCCCTCAAGTGGCCAATCTCTCAATTACATCTTAGTGAAAAAATTTTCTATGAAAAAGATGAGCAGAGAAGAAAAATAACCTTGGAACCCAGGATTTTAAATTTAAGATATTGGTAGTTGTGGCCTGAAAAGGAGATATGGATACAGCGAGGTGTGACTGTTATCTGAAATTACCTGCAAAAATTGGTGAGTTGTTTTCCACCCAGACTTCAAGTGTGCTAGGGATATATATCACCTTAGAAGATCCGCATTTCACTTTTAACTAGGTTTCTTACTGTAATCTAGACTATATTGTTACATGGACTCACCTCCTTAGATTTACTTCTCATCAGAATGTACAAGGATTAGATCTTCTGGGTTGACACTGAAAAATAAGTCTTATTTGTTTGTAATGAAGATTATTCATTAATTTATCCAACAAGTATTAATTCAGCAGGTTTTTTTGTGCTAGTACCGTTCTTGGCATTTGGCTAACAGTGGTTGACTAGAATACAAAGACCTCTGACCTCAGTGATATGTATGGGGTGTGTGTGGAGCATGTTTAGAGAGAAAACAATGTCCAATTACTGCCCAGCCTAACTCATCATCACTCTTCATTAATAAGCAAAATCAATATATATCATTTTAAATGTTTTGAAGGAAATAAAACTTGGAGAATATAGAATCTGATGTGTGTGCTGGCAACTTTAGGTTGGATTGACACAGATAGACTGAGGTGGCTTGAGTTGATATATGAAAGAGGAAAGGTAGACTGTAGGAAAAATAGGGGAAAGAGCAATTCAGGTAGAGGAAAATTCAGGGACCAAGATTCTGAGGAGAAAAAGAACTGATGATGTTTACAGGAAGAGAAAAGAAACCAGAAATGCCAAGCACAGAGAAATGGGGCAAATGGATCAAGCTGAGGCAGACACGAAGAAGAACTTGTCCATCGTATTTTATTCCAAGTTTTTTAGGAAGCCATTGAAGGCTTTTAAGCAGTGAGGTATGAAATGAGTCAATCAATCAGATTACATGTTTTAAAAGTCACTCAAATACTGAGGGCAGTATTGATTGGGGTGAAACAAGAGAAGAAACAAAGAGATCAGTCAGAAGGAAATTGCACTAGTCCAGGCAAGACTAGATGCCAGCTTGAACTAGAATTGTAGAAATGGGGATGTCAAGAAATGGATATTTATCCAATATAAATATTTGAAGGAATGGATATTTGAGAAGTGGATATGTATCCAAGATAATATTTGAGGGATAAAATGACAGGTCTTGTTAATGAGTTAAATATAAGGGATAAGGGAAAGAGGGAATGACAATGACTGCAGCAATTAGGTAGAGCGTAGAGCTGTTTATTGCTATAGGTAAAACGGAAACAGATGAGGTGGGAAAGTGAGAGTTCCCTTTTGGACTTGTTACCTTTAAGATGCATGCAGTGTATACACTAAAATGTCAACAGAGAGCTAGCTCTAAGAGTTTAGAGCTCAGAACTGACTAAGAACTAGAGCTACACATTTGGCAATCAAAATCTATTCATATCATGTTATTTAACGCTATGGAAACTAATGAGATTATCTAGAAAGAGCTTAGAAAAACAAAAATCACCTGAATTGAGCCTGGGGAATTCTAACTTTTTGAAGTCTGGTGAATGCAGTGAAGTCGTCATAGTAGATTGAAGTGAGATACGGTAAAAAAACAAAGTGTGATCTCTCAGAAGTAAAGGATAAAGTTTCAAGGAATGAGTGGCCACTTACGTGGATGCTACTGAATATGAAGTAAGAGAAGAATTGAAAAAGGCCCACTGAATTTTCCAACACAGAATTTTTTGAGACTTAGGCAAGAACAATCTCAGAGGAGTGGTGTGGGGGAAAGGCAGACTGGAAGGTGTTTGAAAACACATAGGAACATCATCAAGAAGATCAATCAAGTATAAACTTCCGAGAATTTTGCCCTAATGGGCAGCAAAGAAATAGGTGATAACTTGACATTTTTCAAGTAATCTTTTCCCAAAAGGGAGTTACGAAAGATTGTTTTCATAGTCAGTGGACCAGCATCTCAATAAAGAAAAATATCAACAAAAAATTGATGATGCAGGAATGAAGTCATTGAGAAAGTTAAATTAGGTGATAAGCAGAGTCAAGTGGAACAGCAAGCCTTTAAACAAAAACAGGACAACTTTTCCACACTACGAGCAGAAGAGACAGAGATTTGGGGTATATATGCAGATCGTATTCATCTTTAGCTGATGCCACTTGACCACCTTTAAAAATTTTGTATTTTGAATTATAGGAGATCACATTCTTTGCCAAAATTTCTTTATGCTATCCAAAATTTGGGAAACATTGGGCTATATATATATATTTTAATAAATATAAAATATTTATAAAATATATAAAATATTTTATATAAATATATAAAATATTTATAAAATATATAAAATATTTTATATTTATTAAAATAATATATATATATATATATATTTACTGTGGGACTATTCAGACTCTTTAGTTTGTGCATGTGTATTGTGAATTTCCAAAAGAGAGTTTCTAACATATAGCATTTCCCAAACTGATTTAATTATATAAACATTTTTTTTTTCTTGAACTATCCATTATACTTGCAGGAAGAAGTTTTACAAGAAACATACTTTAAGAGATTCTAGATAAACAAAAGGACTTTATATGCTTTGTCATAAATCCCATTTTTCTAGCACTCATACAAAATAGATTGAAGATAATATGGTAAGCCTGTAGACACATGTTATTTATAGTAATTTCTTGATCTTCCCGTAGTAAACTTAACACTAATAGCAAAAGTATTACTTTTTATCTGATATCAAAATATACATAAAATTTCTTTATGTACAAATAGAACTAAAAATGTATCATTATTGCATATCACTTATGCTTTGAATATAGTAAGATCTGGGAAATTCTCCTGCCTAATATATACTATAGCATCTTACAAAGAGAAGTCATTTTATAAATACTTATTAAATGAGTAAATAAGTGTACGATTTCCCATTTACCTTGTCCATTTATTATTAAATAAAAAAGAAATCCAGTTCACATGCACAATTTATAAATTTGAAGTATCTATCTGCTCTATTACTATATTAAAGTAGTAGCAATTGTTAATGGTCAGAATATATTCCAGAATGGACAAGAAGGAGAAAATAGCATTTTGCCTTCTCTAGGTCAATCAAGAACTTTACTTCTTTTAAATGAAGAATTTAAGGAAGGCAGAACAAGATGGTCAAACAGAACTCTCCAGAAAATGGTTCCCCCATACCTCTCATAAAGGAACACCAAATTGCACAACTATACATGCAAGAAAGCGACTTTATAAGAACCAAAAATCAGATGAGTGATTATAGTGCTTGGTTTTAACATTATATCAAAATAACAGACATTAAAGAAAGTGGGAAAGACAGTCTTGCATTGCCAACACCACCTCTCCCCAACCCCAGCAGTGCCATGGAGAGAGTATATTGAGTACTTGGGGGAGGGAAAGTGAAGTGATTGTGGAAATTTGCATTGGAACTTAGTGCTACCCTTTCACAGTGGAATACATATTACACAGGGCAAAATTCTGCCAGTGCCCATAGAGGGAACATTTAAAACAGCCTCAGCCAGAAGGGAAACTTCTGCCCCAGTAGTAGGGGTCTAAGCTCCAGCTAGCTCCACTACTGGCTGACTAAAGTGGCATGGGGCCTTGAATACATTTGAAAGGCAGTCAGACTACAAGGGCTGCAGTCCTTGGGAAACTACTGATGCTGTGCTGAGCTCAGAGGCAGTGGACCTGAAGTGCACACAAGCCAGTAAAACAACAGCTATGGTGAGGCGGAGAATTTTTGTATCACCTCACCCCCAGTGCTAGGCAGCCCAACATGGAAAAAGAGCTTCCTTCAGTTTGGGAGAAAGTAAGGGAGGAGAACAAGATACTCTGCCCAGTAATACAGAAAATTATCCTGTATCTTGCCTGAGCCCAATAAGGTGGTACAAATCTGCAAGATTTGCAACATTACCAGGTTTGGAGTGCACCCAGTACAATATGGTTGCAGTGACCAAAGACTTAGATCACAATACTCAATTTCCTTTGAATACCTGGAGAACCTTCTCAAGAAGGATGGCTACAAACAAGCCCAGACATTGGTGAACATCCAGAAGTATCAAGACCATCCAGAAAACATGACTTCAATAAATGAACTAAATTAGGAACCAGTGACCAATCCCAGAGTGACAGACATATGTGATCTTTCAGACAGAGAATTCAAAGTAGCTATTTTGGGGAAGCTCAGTGAACTCAACATTTAACACAGGAAAGGAATTCAGAGTTCTATCAGAGAAATTGAACAAAAAGATTGAAATGTTTTCTGAAAATCAAAAACTGTAGAACTGAAAAATTCAACTGAGACACTAAAAATTGTATCATAGCCTATCAACAGCAGAATTAAGCAGAAGAAATAATTAATGAGTTTTAAGACAGGCTGTATGCAGATACACAGAGAAGAAGAAAGAAAAAAGAAAAAAAGGAAATGAGGTGAAGCATACAGATTAGATCTAGAAAATATCCTCAAAAAACAAATATAAGGGTTATAGATTTTAAAGATGAGGTAGAGAAAGAGATTGGGGTAGAAAGTTTATTTAAAGGAACAATAACACAGAACTTTCCAAACCTAAAGAAAGATATCAATATTCAGATACAAGAAGGGCATAGAACACCAAGGCGATTTAACTCAAATAAGACTATGATACGGTATTTTAATAATCTATCTCCCAAAGATCAAGGATAAATAAA